AAGAACAAAGAGATAAACCCACGTATTATGTTTTATGAATCATTGTTTACCTTTCAATACTATTTTGGATGTGGTAATCATGACAGTGTCTCCCTCTAGTGGTGCATTTTGAGAGACTTCAACATGCGCGACCTACAAGAAGGAAAAATATTTTACAGTTACATTTAGTTTTGACATAATATATTTGGAATATTTAAGGGTTGAAAAAAATGCAGATGCCCCCAACTATACAATAAAAAATAAATCTTGCACATTGTTTTTAGTCTTTAAAAAAAAAAAAAAAATGGATCTAGTTGAGAGCCACACGCATAAAAGCTTTGACTTTCTTCAATATTTCCAACTCTAAAACAGATTTTTCTAGTTTGATTTGTTTGTTGATCTTATTGCTTTCATTAAAGCACTGAATCATTTTTACAAAACTTAGTTTTTTTGTCCACATTAATTATCTATGTCATATTTTCAAGTCAACAAACCTAAGTTCTCTGCTGTGCACAATGTGCTGTGTTGACATATTCCAACACCACAGCATTTTTGGGCTTTTAATGACCTCCTTTACTCTGCATCAGCATCTTAGCTCCGGAAAACTAAAGTCTATCCAAACCCTCTGTAATAGCCACTGTAAAACATGACTCAGCATTTTGAATATGCCATTCTTCATTTGACCCTATTGTTTCTCTATGGACACACAGATAATAAGAGAGTGCCCCGAGAAGTGATCACGCCCACGCCCACATCTGCCCCAGATCTGGACAACAGTATTGCATACAAAGGTAGGACTCAGTACTCATACTCATAATAATCACTGAACAAGTTATTAGGTGTACCAGTGCCTGGACCAAATGAGGTATTAGTCAAAATTCCTGAAATTGTTCTCAGAAGGTGTGCCAAATGCCAATGTTAATAGCAAATCCCCCCAAATCCCTAAAGACAAGACAAGACAGTCCTGCCTAAGACTTCTTCTATTGAGAGTTTAAAGAAATGTGATTTGAGGCATGGGCTAGTGTGAGGAGTTATTCTATCATGGTACCAAAAGAGCTGTATTTATTAGGGTTCTTACCTTATATGATAGAAAACAAGAAAACCTCTTATATAGATTACATCATGATATGCAGAAGACTATTTAGACAACTTTATAAGAAAAAGATACACCATACTTGACAAATGAGTTAGTCAGTCTGTAATTATAGGTATTTGTTAAATAATTCAGATGCACGCTGCTTAAATCAATCATACCGCTGAGAATTTAAACAACTGATCAGCCCATATTGCAGCCCTTTATTTGTGTGATTCTGTTTCCTATTCTTTAAAAGACACAACAGTGAACCCAATTCCCCAGAAGGAGACGGCTCTTCCTTTTGCTGACAGTGAGCGTAATACCACTTAATGCAGGTTCAGCAGCTGTAGACCTCAAGTGCCATGTCTAAAGCCAACCTAAACTCTCCAACTCTTCCTCTATTCACTTTGGCATTCTGCAGGGAAAGGGCTTTGGCGAAGGAGACACACAAATGGGATTGAACGAATCCAAACGTTTAAAGCAGGCCTCACTCTGTCTACTGCTGTGGATTACATAGTTTCCTGGAAAGTAAAGGACTGAATATCTTCTTTCCTGCCCAATACTCAATCAAAGATCTTGATCATTTTAAGTTTTGGCGTGTGTGTATGCAGAAGGCCTACATAACAAAGCATTTAATGTACTCGAAGATGTTGTACCAAAATATCAAGACTTCTCATGGTACCCAAACACTGGCTCAAGTTATTAATATATTTTTCCATGATTTTCTTAAGTCCACAACACATTATTTTGCACCCTTAAAGGAAGTATTTGCTAAAAATAGCCCCAGAAGATCATTGCAAAGATAATTACCTCCGCCAAGGAGGTTATGTTTTTGCCGCCGTTTGTCTGTTTGTTTGTTTGTTTGTCTGTTAGCAACATAACTCAAAAAGTTATGGACCGATTTTGATAAAATTTTCAGGATTTGTTGGAAATGTGAAAACGAAGAAGTGATTTCATTTTGGGGGTGATCTGGAAGAAATCCTGGATTCTGGATCACTTTGAAATTTTAGTTAACATTGTGGTAAATGGGGCCAAAAATTTTGTTTCTCAATATCTCAGTTAATTATTGACCAAACCCCATGAAATTTGACTCAGGGATGGACAATGGGATCCTCTTTCATATTCCAAGGCTGATCCGAATCTGATCCAGAAGACTGATTTTATCACAATTAATATAAAAAATGGGGGTAGTCCTTGGCGGAGGTCTGCGCTCTCTGAGTGCTTTTCTAGTTATCAATTTAATGCTTTTTGTTTATAAGTTAAACAACATCATGGAATGCTTATAATTATGATGCTTTTAGTGTGTGTTTGCAAAGTAGTCTGTACAGAACCTGCAATGGCTGTTTGAAGCTTGCTGAGTCTGGAGGGAGCCAGCATTCATGTTGCTCCCACTGAGAGGAAGAGTGACATGCCTGTACCTCACTGAGCCTGTCACATGAACCTGAACAGCTGTATGAGAGTGCAGTGCACTCAGGGCAGCTGATGAACAAGCACATACACACCACAAACTGTATGTACACACATACACACGCAAATGTTGAAAATGAATCAAGATGCTGTCTAACACACTAGACTGCATATAATAATAATGTCCAGGATATCAAGCTCTTCATTGTTGTAAATACATGTAGTGTTGTGCAATGTAAGGAAAATGATTGTCATCATATCATGTTTAAATTCACCATTTGGATTCACTGAATAAGCAGTAAGTGTAAGAAGTTGTCAGCTTTTGTTGAAGGAGTTAGTTATGTTTCAAATATGAAAATATAAAAATTAAAATAGACAGGTCAGAATATCAACAATTTAGTGTGGTTGCATTACATTTTTACTCCTTAACTTTAAAAGCCGAAGCTTTAATGAAAATGTGAACTTAACTTTTGCTTTCAAATTTGCAGTGTTTTCATTCAAAATGCTATAGCTGTTTTAATTTTGAGTCAGTCATTATGGAGGGCTATTCTTTTCCTTTTCTGAATACCATTCACCCTCTAGCACTTATCTTTTGGCTATGACTCAAGCACAATCTAGTAAAATAAATAAAAAACATGTGTTGGCACTGTTTCCTCGAGATCCCATCCCATTTTGCGTGTGCCGCTGCCTTGAAGACGTGCACTTTTTCCTAAACCATCTGTTAGCGGATGAGATGCTGTTGCAGATGCTTTGGGCTTGTGAGGGTTTAGCAGAGGAATAGTTCAAATCACCAAGCTCGCATTTGGCTGTGTCCACCTGCTGTTATGTGCTGGCCAAAACATGCGTAAAGTGGAAAAGTCCAGCAGTGAGCCACTCTCCTGTCCATACTCATGTTTGAGTCTTGCTGAGAGGGAAGCTGCAGAGGTAGAAAAAATAAAACATTAGCAACAATTGAGCGCATAGAGGGGCTAATATTTTTGTGTATTGAAAGGGAACAAACAAACACATTTTGTTGGTAAAATAAGTCTGGAATTGGAAAAACAAATGTGAATTTTCCGTCCGTTTGTATTTCAGAGTAAAAACTATAAGGCATATTTCTGCTTTTCATTGATTTCAGCTTCCTGTATCATTTATAGGACTTTTTTCCCATTCAAAAGATATGATATTTATTACTAAATTATCATTGCTATGGCAACGGCCCTAATTTCTCATTATGCTGAAACCCATGGATAGCTGTTCTTTCCGCTTTCATTACGTACTTTGACTTTTCCAAGCCTGAAGACATCATCTGATATTCAAAAAACAGGCAATTAAAAGATTTGATGCACTATGGAAAAGGAAAACTGATTAAGTAATGTTATTTTTCCAGCCTAATTATAGCACTAAAAAGCACTCTAGCAGAATGTGCACGTCTTTGTTGTGGAGACACAAAAATCGTGGGCTTCATTTTGTCATTTTTGTGATGACACTTTAATAAGAGCTTTGACATTTAGACTTACATTATTTTCAATTGCTGCCTCATTGTACTTGTATTTAGTTTTGGACTAGACAAGCACCATTATTGTGCACATTTTATGGAAAGCTATCAAATAATTAGCATTTTTGACATTTAAGTGCTAAGTGTTTTTTCAGTTACAATATTATTCAGCTTTTCTAGAGTATTATAATTAATCAGCATGAGATACATTTTATTATATGTCAGCCTTCCTATCTTCCTTCTATTACAGAAACAGACATCTTCTCATGAAATACACACACACACCATCTATGTCCAACACCTGTCACATTAGAACAACATTGTCCAGACGAAAACTAACAACATGTACTGACTCTGACAGAATCCGGTGATATTATTTGTTCCATTTTTGACAGAAAATCATGGCACTATCTCTTTACAACCATCACCCCTGTTGACATTGGTATTTTTAAACAAACATCAAGTTGCCTACTATTTATCATCTCTGGAGATGATTTAGCATTTTTGTTAACAATCCTGGTCCACACCTTTCATCCAACACAAAGAAAAGCATTCAGTTTGTTCAAACGTGTTGCTTCAATGTACCCAGTAGAGGGAGCTCTTACCTACACATACAATAAGAGGCTGTCTGGCGTTCTCCAATGCACAAGCCAAAATATGCAACCACTTTCTCCTCCACGTTATCAAAAGAAGTGTCATCTTACTTTTCCCACGTGCATTTAATTTAGGGATCATTACGTCCCCACTAGCTATTATTACTTTAGCTTATTGTACTCTAGGACGTAATATTGTCGGAATTACATTTTGGTATTCACTTAAATGTCAGGTAATTTCCCAGCGGGGTGCTGAGGGGTCAGGAGGTGATCGATTTATGTCCGAGAAAGATAAAGTGGAAGCGGGGCTGCTGATGCGCAAGGGTAAAGGGGTTTGCCAATGGGTCATTAGAAATATTAGGCTTCTATTTTTTTTTTTACTGTGTGAGTTGGTTGTTTTACCTTTGTCTTCTATGATCAAAATATGATGAATGAATACACCCCCTTTTGTCCCCCTGCAGCGAAAGCATCGTAGAGCAAAAGAGATCATTTGGAAACCGTGCGTGATACAAACTCCACATTTGTCATTAAAAAATTATTATTGGTTGTAGTCTAATATTTTATACAGTTTGTGGCATTGTGCCTTTACGCAAAAGAACAGCTCCTCTTCTGTGGTTTATGCTGCCTGACTCGTAGGAATCTTCACTGCCCACCGCTCAAGCCTCGCTCCCACTGAACTGAATGACTTGTAGTGTGAAGGAAACCAAAAGGCAGCAGCAGCAGAAGCGCTGGCGTGCGTGCGGAGAGACGTACGGACGGCGCCTCATCCAACCAGCGTGAGAGCTACGTTCAAACCAACCAAATCAAAGTGACTGCGCCTGGACGTCTTTGCAGTTTGAAACTACACATCTCCGTGCGTCTTCTTTTCTGGTGGAAAAAAGCGTGAGCGAACAGATGAATTCCACCGAGTTGTCCGCTTTTGAAAGCGAGGAGTTCTTTACGGGACGTGAAGAAGACAGGACTATTTCGACTCGTAAAGATGCTTTTAAGTGATCTAAACTTTGCGGTGAAACGGGAGTTGTCCCTTTGAATAACTATCCTGGACATTCCTCTGCCTGTGCGTAATTCTTCTGTTAACGTGAAGTTTAAAGAACTGTCCTTTTGCCTGAGTTGAAGGAATTAAACACAAGAGAAGAGAAAAAGCGTTCCAAGTGGATTTAACCGCGTCGCTTCCCAAATGATGCCTGTCCGTTTTACTTGGATTTACTGTCTACTGGCGTTTCTGCACTTTTCTTCAGGTATAAAGCTTCTTTTTACCCTTTTGCATGTAGTTTTAAATTCCCCGAAAGCATATAAAGAGGAAAATGTAGGCAGGGATGATAACTTTCGTGTTCGGAGGCACACTGCGGGTATTTCGGTCACCTTTTCGCTCTGTTCCCAGCGGTATCAGTATGTGCCCCCTGACCTCACGCTGCTTTCTGCGGACTGACCCAACTATCTATGTCCCAGTGGCAATGAAGCAGTCACAATATTATATATAGTAAGACAGATGCGCAGTGGAGGTATGCTGCTCAAAGTGGTTGTATTCTTTTATCTCTTAATTGGCGTGTGGGGGTATACGGACTAGCCACCATATTCATCAGTGGTATGAATACTTAAATGCATGAAGTAGATAGTCTAAAATAAATTAAGTTTTTTCACCTTATACTGATTGTGGAACTACTCAGACAAGCTTGTTTCTGGACAGCAATCCATGTTCTCCATGTTCAAAGTCATTTAAATCAGAAGAAGGCTTAGGCTATCATTTATTCATTTATTGCGCAATCATCTTCCTGATTGTGCTCTCCAGTTACATTAATTAACTCCAGCCAAATTTGTGGATTACAGCTGTATTTGTTAAAATCAGTGCTACTAATACTACTTCACTTTAGCTACTACTACTACTACTACTACTACTACTACTACTACTACTACTACTACTACTACTACTATTACTACTACTTCTACTACTACTACTACTGCTACTGCTGCTTCTGCCACTTCTTCTTCTACTACTACTACTACTACTACTACTACTACTATTACTATTACTGCTTTCGGTCATCAGTCCAGTTGCATTGGATACACTCCTCACAAGCGTCAGGTTAATGAGGAGCATAGAGACTTCACATGGACAGCCCCTCTGCACCATACTTGTAAGGGGATGTGCTTTTTCATTCCACTGGAAAAATAAATGGCTTGGTGGTTGTTTTGCCTGCTCAGCCCATTCTCTCTGTGTAGACGTATTCTGCTTTTGGCTTTGACTTTAGAAATGTAACTCTGTTTGGACAAATCATAACCCATGGCCTTATTTTGTAACACACACATAATAATGGAGGTGTCAGAATTGGAGAGATTACCAGACCGGGCAGGTCTTGTTAAGAGTGCTGACAATGTAGGCAGCTCTCACCTGGCTTTTATTGCTTTCACACAGCTAATATTAGCCCCTCTGTTGGGGTCAGTCAGCAGAATACAGATGCATAAAACAGATTCACATGCAGAGTGAGTAGCATTTTGTTCCCCAAATGTGTGCCAAATAATACTTGTACATTACTTAGAATTACATAAGTGTTACTGACTTATGATTGGTGGGTGCTGTGTCAAGTCAATCATTTTTGCTGTGATATTATATTGACAAAATTGTGCAAATATAGTGGCGCAGAAATATTAATAGCAATATTAATAGTACTAGTAATAGTACTGCAGTATTTCCCATGAATAGAGGAGATTATGCAAAAAAAAAAGGTAAAACAAATAATACTACATTACAATAAAGTATAATCATAAACATATTGAAGTAACAATTTTTTTCTCTGTAATCTGTGCTTTTTTGTTCAATAGAGGCAATAAATGGCATTTATACACCAAAATATTGTATTAACTGAAATGATTAAATATGGAGAGCTTGTGCCACCATAGTCTTAGTATAAACCTGTGGGAGACACTGGTACTGTCATCCAGTCCTAATTCACTGTCCTTTTCACAGTGGGCGTGCTTTTTCTCATTAACGCTTACAATGCATTCATGTTTCTTTTCGGCAAACTACTTACAACCTGTTAAAGTACTAAAACAGAAATCTATAACCATTGAGCTGATGGCTTCAGCAGCAGTGTGTTCTCCTTGATGTTGGCTGAGGTGGTGCAGTAGTGTTAACATATGGACACAGTAAATTATCAAACACTGTTAACAAGAGGCTGACAGAGAACCAATATAACTGGCCTGCATTATTATACTGTATATGTAGTCATTTTCCAGAGATTTGATTCCCAGCCACAGTCTTTACAACACAAATTCACTCAAAATGTTAAAAGCATAATATCACCCAGCCACAAGACAGAATGAGAAAGTATTCTTTGTTATAGTTTTTAAGTAGAGGGCTTCGTCTGGAGGGGCATCTGTTGTAGCAAGAATAGCACTGTACTTAGAAGGACACGCAACAGTAAAGCCACAGATGTGTCAATAATACAATGAATTTTTCAGTATGATGCATTAAATCTATAGTGTACCTTTATAGACCTAAACCCAGAAACACTAATAGTGTTTCTGAGTGTATATTGAGTGTGTACTGTGAGTGTATTTACCTGATCCCATCACACAAGGATTTTTATGGAGCTAGATGTTATCACAGGAAAGCTGCCAGCCATTTGTCCGTCCTTGAACCTCATCCAGGCTTCTTCAACATTCATAAACATACATTATCCACTCCCATTTTGTCAGTCCACACTCCAGTTAAAAGCATTATTAAAACACCCAGCTTTGGGAGAACCAGTGCTAAGTCCTTGTGCATGGATAGAGACAGTACAAGTTCCTCTGAAGCCTGGTTGAAAGTTTAATCTTGGTGTAATTATTTCAATAAGGGTAATAGGATGATTCACAGTCATTTAAATGAGAGCTATTAAAAGCATATGGTGGTGTCGAGATGGCTTTGTCCCTGTCATACCACAGATCTTAATTATGCATCCCCAGAGTCATGTTGAGGCTTGCATTGCTATTGTACTGCCTTTATAGTGCTCTCTAAGCACTGTCTATGGAAACCAAGTATTGGGTACCTTGTAGTGGCCACCAAACACTAGGCTTGTCATGATAATAAAATAAATGCAATATATTGGTAAAGTAAATATAGATGATAAACAATAATATTAAAACCAAACCATAAAGCAGAATTATACTGTTTTAAATATTGTTGAGCTGCAACAAAAAACAACACATGGCAACACTTAAGTAATTAGGCTGTAATTGTAGTTCATAATTCAACCATCTACAGTTCATCTTATCATATTGCAGAACAAAATATAAAAGATACTCCCATTAGTGCAAAGGAAAAGTACACACAATAAATATTGACCCCCAATAATTTTTGCCCAATATCATATATTGAATATGTCGATATAGTATTTATTGTGACAGACCAACCATATATGTGATTCTTATATGGATGATGACTAGTGCATCACATGCTTGCAGTTTAGTCTGAAAATATTACCTGTTTGAAGTGATGTCATTATGAACCATGGGTTGTTGTGTTATTTTATTCTGTGTGCATCACATTTGCTACAAATAGGGAATATTACATTTGTTAGAGGACGATGCTGCCTGTATTTTACCTCAACGTCACAAAGCTTCTCACACTCAGCTTGGGAGTTACTAATTAAGTATTAGCATAAACCAATGTGAAAATGCCATTAATGCCATAGCTTTTATATCTTGGCACATTAGTAAAAGAATAAATTAGCTAGATATTATTTATTATAATACATTAGGTATATGCTTTCTGCACAGCTATTTTCCATAATGTACCAAACACTGTGTAACCTGTAGTTCAGTCAGTCACCTGCAGTATACAGTGTAAAATGTTAAGCTTGTGAATTGCAGCTTGGTGGTTTGTAACTACCCTAGAGACCAGAATGTTGAAGCTAATTTTGTCAGTATATGTTACATCTGGCTAGTTTGCTGATGCTAGTCTTGCGGAGGTCAAAGTTCACATGTACTTACTCATGCCCTTCAAGTGACTGATTCCTATGGGTGCCAGAGGTTGACAGTTGTGACCCAGAACTGCGTCTAGCACTTGTAAAAGAAGACTGGACTTTCAATAATAATTGCTTGATTGGGAGAAGCTGGCCCGCTGTGCTATTGGCTGAACTAACTAGGCTCCCTGTAGTCTTTCTGATGGTGACAGTGACGACTTTAGTCCTGCTACTAATGAGGAGTTTCCCGCTATGGGTGATGTGGCTGCTCAGACCACTTTGAAGACCGGCGAGTTGTTTCTTTGTTTAGCACATAGGGTTGTCAAAGCGTATTGAAATATTGTGACTAATAGGATTCACTCAAGGCCTCATGCATCGAGAAAAACATTCCCAGTAAATGGTGTTTACATCAATTTATGCATGTTGAGAACTCTTACGTCTATATGAGTTCTCTACTTCTAGGTGCTGTCATTATAGATTCTGGTATTAAAATATAAAGCATATAGTCTGCTTATAGTATAATTTCCACATTATCAGGATTGCAGAAATAAAAATGTTTATTTTCTTTGGAAACGTTGGATGATGAATCATTTACTGAAAAAAATACACTATATTTAATTGGTCTATTCTTTTCTTCCACATTGAAATCCTTTTGCCATTTCAATAGCTTATATGTGCCAAGTTTAGCTTTTGTTTGTGCTGAAAATAAAGGCAAAGAAGTAAATACACAAATGAAAGCAACACAGTTACTGTAGTTTTTATAGTACTTAATTTCAAGGTCCATACTACAAATTCTCATATAGTCAACATTATCAGCAAGCAATGTAACATTTGGCTTGGCTCTGTAGGATCAATCAATAAAAGATTAACTCTTAGCTAGAAATTTCAATATATTCACATCAGTTTCGTCACCAATTTGTGGATCAATATTGCACCAATTTCAATTCTGTGTCTCTCCTCAAAGGGACTTCACCACATAAAGTGACTCATCAACCATTTGCTCTTTAAATTACTTTTATTATCATACAAAACATGCACAGATTTGACCCAGTGGGAAATCATACTGCTTTGACATGTGTTTTTAATAACCTGATGAATCACGCCCATGCTCTCCCAGTTCTTTCCAGTTCTGCTCTAACTGTATCTCTGCCCTGTTGTCTCAAATCCATGCAGATGTTGGTATTGTTTGCTCAGACTTTGGATGTGCATAAATACATGTGTAATCATGTTAGCATATGTGTGTGTGCCATTGCCTGATTGCTTCCCATGTTTACTCATTCATTTCCTGTGAGGCT